ATATGTTGAGGATCGTAGACAATTTTTTAATTGTATCACAAGATATCGGTGAAAAGTAGCTACAATCTTGAAATTCCACATGCGGTGAAATACTTTATACACTAGTTACAAAAAGTTGAAGGCCAATTCTTGAAAAGAGTTACTGATCTCGGGACCTTTCGTGCTTATAATGTTATGAAAATAATACAGGGCGGCCCATCCATGTGTGGACGGAATATTACTCATAAACAAATACATTTTGAGAAAATATATGTTATTTATGACATTTGAGTGTACATTTCTGAAATATTGGCAATTCTACAGCATCTCCCAATTTTGAACTACATATCAACGTTGTGATTTTTTAAATGGAATGAATCAAATTTTATTGCATATTTAGATAAGCCAATTCAAAATATGAAGATTAATCTAGCCATCTACGGCGTTTTGGTAATTACCTACTGGGATATAAGGTGTTTTGTCCAGAAAAACCGTAAAGTTCGGCAACCCCTCAATCCGCCATTTTGACATGTGGAGTGCTGAATTTTGTATCAAGAAAGCTTTTTTTTGGTATAAGGTTTGATTCAGATAAAATCACTAGATTTTTAGTTATTAAGCTTTTAATACAACAACACACTAAAACAAAAGACAAACAGTGGGCTAGTTCCATATTGCCACTAAGAGTACAGATTTGACCTTGTATCTCAGTAGCTAACTACCAAAACCCCATAGCATGTAATATCAATTTTCTTCTTTTTAATTGGTTTATCCAAATACGCAATAAAATTTGAGGCATTCCGTTTGAAAAATCACAACTTTGATATGTAGGTCGAAAATAAGTGATCAAAGAAACCGACCTAGTGGTGACCTACACGAGTATGTCCTTGACAGTTAGTTGTGTTTTGGACATATATATGAAACTATATATTTCTGATAGAGCTGATTCCTTTTTGAGCTAGTTGTAGGATAAATATGTTCTGGAAAACTTTAAATGCTACACAATTTATGATTATTTCTGCCAGTATCAACTATAGATAACTTAAACAGTATATTTTGCAAATGGAACATGGTTAAGTATGACTGGTCATTGACGAGACTTCGTCATTTGTAACTGTACTGCTGTATACACTTGTAAGTCGATTGAATTGAATTGAACATTCTTTGACATAAATGTTCATAATAATCGTGCCTTTGAATACTTTCGATAAATATCTCTGACGTTAGTAAGTATATCAATTCTACATTGCAGTAGTATTTTCTGAGACGGTATGGAGCTGATTTTGACAGGTTTTGGAATAGTTCCTCAACAGTCAACTTTCTATGTATACAAGGTGACTTGTAATGTCACGTATTCCTGTCAAGGGGTGATAGATTAGGTAAAAAGGCAACCGATTTTGTCCTATAATGTCCTATCTAGAAGTTAACCATTTTTGAGTTATTTGAATTTAATTTTTTTTATTTTTTATTCTGATTTAAGACGGTTAAATTTGAAAAACAAAAAACTACATGTTTGATTTTGAGTTTTTTGTTATCGCCGCATAGCGGACATTCCAATAGTTCATAATATGGAATTGGTGGTTCAGCCTACCTGTGGATAAAATCGTACTTGCAGAATATGTCACAATTCGTGGCAATAACACACAACAACGCTGGTTAACTGAAGCAGGTCAAATCGGATATGGTTAACATAAATATAGGCGTACCACAAGGATCTATATTGGGGCCAGTGCTGTTTTCCCTTTATATAAATAACCTGGAGCAATGTTTCCCTGAAGCACATTTCACGTTGTAGGCAGACGATGCCTCCATCATTATATCAAATAAAGACGAGGCTGATTTAATAAATAAATGTAACACCTTAGTGTACAACATCAATAGCTGGTTCGAAGAAAATCAGTTACTTCTTAATAGCGAGAAGACCACAGTTATAAGGTTCCATAACATTCAAAAGTCGATCCCACCGATTCAGCTTATTCTGAACGGTTCAGCACTGCAGAGTGATAAAAGCACTAAGTTTTTAGGGCTCCACTTAGACCAATGTCTCAACTTTAAAGGACATTGCGATTATCTATCATCAAAAATAAATTCACAAGCATATTTATTCAAGAACCTGAGATCTGTTTTTACAGAGAATCAGCTATTGATGTTGTATCATGGTCAGGTTGAGTCTCGCATGCTGTATGCTTTGTGCTTCTGGGGCTCATCGGTGAACGCTTCTAAGGTGTTCCTAAGTCAAAAACGGCTGGTGAGGTGTATGGTGGCAGTAAGCAGCACTTATAGTTGCAGTGAGTTATTCAAGAGATTAAAAATAATGACACTGCCTTCGCTTTTTCTCTACAATATGGCTATCTATACTTTTTCAAACAAAGATGATTTCACCTTGAATAGTCATATACATCAAATGGGCACTCGCAGACAAAACGACATCCATATACCTTTTGCGCGTTATAAGTTAGGCAGCAGATCACCATGTATTTTAGGTCCTAAAATTTTTAACAACCTGCCTGACTCCATAAAAAGAATCACCTCAATAGGCCAGTTCAAATGTGAGCTGAAAAGTTACTTTATAAGTAACTGTTTTTATGCAATTAGCGACTTTGTCAGCTTTTAAATATCGTTTTTTATCACTAATTTTAACTTGTTTGTTGTTGGATGTTATTTGTTTGTTTCTTTTTATTTATTTATTTACTTTGTACATATTTACTTATTGTATCTTTTTGACGAAACCTATACATGTTCATGCATGTCTAATGGAAAATAAATTTATTATTATTATTATTATTATTAATAAGTAATAAAATGTTGAAAACTCACAAAAGTTTTGAAATTACGCTTTTGAAATGTATGGTTTTCTTATTTTTTACTAACTTATTCGATAAAAAATGCAATTTTCTGTAAAAAATCTCCTAGTAAGGAAATATGCAAATTCTGTAAATAATATCTCTATCTAACAAGCTTTCATTTGAGGTATAAAAGTTACAACTAACTCAAGTACAAAGACAAAATTAAAAAAAGATGAGTAAAGTTGTATGAACGATAATTACGTAGGATCAATAAAAGGCTTTTATTTTGATTACAGTTTTATTTAATTACATTTCCTTTAGTATTTTACAGATTCTGCTCAAATTGTAATCCCCTGTTACGAATACACGCCCGCATTCTCTTAAGTAATTCACTTTTGGTAACTCTAGTTGTTAAGCGGCTGTTTATTTGGTCAGCTGCACTGATTATCCTTGTAAACATCGTACACCAGGCTTTTCATATGTCCCCACACATAGTAATCCATCGGTATGAGATCTGGGCCTCTTGCTGACCAGGCAATGGGCCCGCCTCTGCCAATCCATTGATTTGGAAATTTAGAGTCTAAATACGCCCGTACTAATCTACTGTAGTTTGCGAGACAGCCGTCGTGCTGGAACCGCATATTTTGTCTCGTCGCCAATGGGACGCCTTCCATTAATGTAAACAAGTGATTTTTCAAGAACTCTTCATACACTTCTCCATTTAAAATAGCGGGCAGAAAATGAGGTCCAATTAAATATCCATCAATGATGCCCATCCACACATTGACTGAAAACCGGCTCTGAGACCCCGTCGGTCTTATTTTTCGGCGGTTTAAAGCTTCTTTATCAGCCCAGTAATGAGCATTATGGTAGTTAGTGATCCCGTCCTTATTAAACTTCGATTCATCGTCCACAGAATTTTCTTAAAATAGTCTGGATCTTCTGTATCTGCATGTAACATGTACCTGCAGAAATCTAATCGTCTTGCAGGATCGCCCTCTTCAATCACATGCACAGGCACGTAGTGATAAGGGTATAATCTTCCTGAAACTCACGAAGAATTTCCTCTTCATCTTCAGGAGGATAGACTCGGGGTCGACCAGCATCACTATGTTGCCTTTGAACAAGTCCGGTTTGGCGGATGCGCCGATACACTGAATCACACATAGTAACATGAGGTGTTCGTCGATTCGGGAAACGTTGCCGATATTCACGGCGGGCAGCTGCAGAATCGCCGTTACAAAGTCCATAACAGAACATTATGTCTGCGTATTCTTCATTTGTAAAAGTTTGCCCGTGCTCGCTATGGCGAGGTGCTGGCGGATCTTCAGCGTCTGCCATGATGATAAAGAAACCACTCGAAATAAACTGAGAAACTCGAAAATAATAATCGTGCGTAAAACGTGTGCGCGTACGCGTACCAACTAAACCTAATTCTCACTCGGCGTGCGGCGATGGCGTAACTACAATGATGAATAATAACAGCTCTCTCTCTCTTTCACTCCTCCACTAAGTCAGCTCTTCTCGCTCGCTTCCTCGTCGAGCCGATGCCATAAAACAATCATGGCATGCGAGTCCTTTGAAGACTGTAACGACTTGTTCAAAAAGGTAATACAAATTCCTAAAAAATCCAGCCTCTGTGGGTGTCATTGTTGTTTCTCTGCATGTACTTTAGATAATTGAAGGCTTAATACCTCAAATGAAAGCTTATTAGATAGAGATATTATTTACATAATTGGCACATTTCATTACTAGGAGATTTTTTACAGAAAATTGCATTTTTTATCGATTAAGTTAGTGAAAAAAAGAAAATGATACATTTAAAAAGCGTAATTTTAAAACTTTTGTAGCTTTTCAACATTTTATTACTTTTTATGATCTATTGGAATGTCTGCTATGCGACGGTAACAAAAAACTCAAAATCAAGCATGCAGTTTTTTTGTATTTCAATTTTCACCGTCTGAAATCGGAATAAAAAATAAAAAACTTAAAATTCAAATAACTCAAAAATGGTTAACTTTTGGATAAGACATGATAGAACAAAATCGGTTGCTTTTGACCTAATCTATCACCCCTTGACAGGAATACGTGACATTACAAGTCACCCTTTATATTTGACTAGCAGTATACCTTTACGTACATCATGTATGTATACCATATACAGGTTTATCGCTTTAAACCGTCATAATTACGGATATTTAAAATAATTGCTATTGCCGTACCTCATACATAAACATACTCTTTCAAGAAGAAATAGCTGCGTGAATAGTTGATTCTAGCACTTGTATTACTTGTAAATTACATCAACTACATCACATAACAAGTACATAAAGCGAATCTATAATCAGTGGAGTGATAATTACTTAATATTGAACTCATTGCTAGCCGTTCCACTCTGAATGTCATGTTTTTGGGTAATCATAGCTACTGACAAATCAGTTTCTAATCGGTGTTTCAATACCAACAATTGAACTATAGTTCTCGTATGAGTAGTACCAATGGCAGTGTGTGGGGAAATTCTTATTTTGTATATCCGATATACGCTCAGTAGGTGTCTCTCTATATCGTCTGCATATCCATCGGTAAGCTTGATCATCCTTTTTTTATTTTACCTTAAAACTGCATACAAGGTACACGTAATCTTGCTGAAATTGCTGTGAATTGTTATCTATGCCATATTTGCTTGCGACTTTAAAACCGCAAAGGTATTTAAACGCGTTATTGGTTTGTATCTTATCAAAGGAACGGAATTTAACGATTTAGGAAATTTATATTCAGTTCCGTGGTATAGTCGGATGTACTTATCTTGGACTTGACAAGCCGGCACTACGTTTCCTAGCGTCATATCTTAAATACAGAGAGCGACGGGTGGTCCTGGGAACAAGTACTTCAAATTTACGGAGTGTTCCTTCAGGAGTACCACAAGTCCTAGGGCCCGTCTTGTTCTCAATATATATCACATCGTTATTAGATCATCCATCAACAGGACAAACTGCATGCTGTAGATCATCCGGCGCGTTAGGTAACGCATCTAACGCAATCCATCTAGAACAGCCACAAATGTCATATTTAATCATTTGGCAAGTTTTCAGAGGGATGACTTATATCTGCTTTTTGTAAAATTTGGGTAATTTAGTTCATCCGTTCTACAGATGTGCCGATAGCGCTAGTATAAATCGTATATTGGTGCGCGTATACCTCAATTCATCTCTACAGTGGATCGATCATCTACAGGGTAAGGTCTATATGAATCTCAAGCGATAGATCATCCATAAACGTGGCAACATGTCTTCATGAAATATTTATCGATTTGTTAGCATTCAGCTTTCGGCTTGATGCTTGATCCCAGTGATCAAGGAAATAATTGTGTTGCTTGACTGTAGTATATGACAGTTTGAAAATCTAAAGATACGAAACACGTTACTGATTTCAATTTTTTTGTAAAGTCTCTTGCTCTCGGCCAAAAATTCTAGCTTCGGCAAAGAATTGACCGCACATTCGGGCGCACAGAAGTACTCTTCTATCATGTTTATTGTTTTTATTCATGTTAAATTGTTAATATAACATAGATAAATATACTAAGTGACATATAAGTCCGAACACCCAGTTTAAATCTTTTTATTTTAATAAAAGTTGGTGAATGTATTTATCTTACTGTAAATAACAAGTGAAAAATTTGTCAGCCTTATCAGTTGGACATTCCCGTTTTGTATACTGCTTTTTTTAATTCACTAACGCTCTAAAAATGAATATTTCAGCCTCAGTAAAGAATCAACGTTGGCGGATTTTGATTCTTGACATCCTTTACGATCGGTTACGATGCCTAGATTACGGAGACCTGTACGATTTCGTCAACTTAGTGAGTTTGATAGGGGTCGCATAGTGGGACTTCGGGAAGCTGGACTTTCTTTTCGGGCAATTGCAGTTAGAGTGCAAAGAAGTGTAGACACTGTGGTTAGGTATTGTCAGGCATGGCTTCGAGAAAGCCGTACGCAAAGAGCAAGGGGCACTGGTCGCCGCCCTAGAACAACAGAACGTGAAGAACGCCTCCTCAGATTATTGGCCTTAAGGGACCGTTTCTCCACTACCAGGTCCATTGCTAATGAATGGTTTGCAGAACACGGAAGACCTATTGGCATGCGAAGTGTTTACCGACGAATGAGAAGTTTTGGCTTGTTTTTATACCGGCCACACTTCCTTTAACTCGAGAACACCGACGTAATCGCCTTGAGTGGTGCAGACAACGGTCACTCTGGGATCAGGAATGGAACAGTATTGTCTTTAGTGACGAGTCTCGATTTTGTTTAGGCATGCACGATGGTCGTGCCAGGGTTAGAAGGCGACGTGGTGAAAGGAGGAATCCACAGTTTTTTGTTGAAAGACATGTTCATCACACTGTTGGGGTTATGGTTTGGGGTGCTATAGCTTATGGTTCCAGGTCACCTTTAATCTTCATCAGAGGTAACACGAACGCACAGCGTTATATCCACGAAGTTCTAGAACCCCATCTTTTACCCTATCTTGACACCCTGGCAGATCCAACTTTCCAACAAGATAATGCCCGACCACATGTTGCAAGAGTCACAATAGACTTCTTTCAACATAATGATGTCACATTGTTACCATGGCCACCAAGATCTCTCGACTTATCCCCAATTGAGCACGTGTGGGATATGATGGGTAGGAGATTGCTCAATTTGCAACGTCCTCCTCAGACTCTAGAAGCACTTCGAGAGGAGTTGGTGGTTGCCTGGAATGAGATACCACAGGATGACATTGACCACCTGATCAGAAGCATGCCTAGGCACTTTGGAGAATGCGTAGCACATCAGGGTGCATCCACACATTATTAAAGGTCAAAGGGCTTAAAGCAGTGCAATCATTTTGAAATTTTTATCATTTACTTATTATGCTTCATTAAGTACTTATACAAAATTTTATTAAAATAAAACCATTTAAACTGGGTGTCCGGATTTATATGTCACTTAGTATATATTATTATGTAAGTAAACCAAAGGCATGATTAAGTTATTGCAATTTTTCAGTTCAATCGTAAAGGTTTAAATTTTTTTTGTCGGCACAGTCTGGTTGAAATACACTGAGTTTCAGAAAAAGGACCGTAGATGTTTTGTTTAACATAAAGCTGCTCTTATTATTATTATTTATCACTAATTAAACTCAAAAAAAATTGAGCTAGCTAGGTAGTCGATATAAAAATATTGCTTATTGACCATACATAAATAAGAAAAGGGCATATTAAACATTTAAGGTTGTGGACAACTGTTATGAAAGATGCAATGGACGCCAAGTGATCATCTGGCAGTTCTGGCATTAAAAAGGATCTAAGTCATCCTGACCAGAGTACATGTTTCTGAACCAGGAATTGTGTCTAGTTCGGCGTGTTCTATTCTAGTATGGATTACTGTTGAACAATGCATTATAATGTGACGTTCATCACAGGAGTCTGTGTCCTCATAATAGCTGCTCGATTTATGAGATGACTACGGCTTAAAAACCGTTCAGGTAGTATCTTGGCATCTGGGTCGGAAAGATATTCTGATTTTGTTTTTTTTTACAATTTTATGCAGAGATGAATGAATCTACATGCCCAAAATTGCGTAAAAGTTGTCCGATTTTTTATTTCTTGAAACAAAGTACACTGCTTTATTGCTCCTGACAATCTTTTTCAGGTAATTCTGAACAAAAAAGGTTTTTTGTATATTACTCGCTTAGCTATAAGCGATTTAATATTTGATAAAGTGCCAAGTATGCCATCCTCGATCCCGAAAAACGATATGAAAAGACAAAGCATAAGAACCTTATTTGTTCAGAATGCCAAAGACAAATAGAAAATTTAACTTTTAATTTTGTAATAAAAGATTTGCTTAAACAATTGTGAGGCAATTTTGGTGCTGGCAACGTGCAGATCATTTTACGTGACATGCCCTTTTTTTCAAAATCCTGTCTGGAGGAGGAAAAACAATATATTTCTTTTTGTCAAAAATGCATATTTGTGAATTTTTCATTAATTTTTTCATCAATCGTGACTCGCTACATAATAGTACAGCTCTGAAATTGTATGTGAATAACCCATTTCTATGGAAGAATGAAACCGGCGACTACTTGTTTTCTTATCACTTTTTCTCTGTTTCTCGAAAACTAAATTTAGACGAAAATACTACCGGTTTACGAAATAATTGTAGAGTCTGGTTTCATTGCTGCATGTTGTTCAAGGAAGTATTTAAAACATTGACACATAAAATATTTACACCAATTTTTGTGGGAAAACTTTTTATTCGTCAACAAAGAATGAGAAACCGGGATTTTTGGGATTCAATCGGAAGTGCTGACAGGAACAAAAGAACTGTTCATACAACATTTTCAGGTATTTATAAGACCTACAAAACGGCACCACACATATAAAGTTCCGACTAATAGCAAAAAAGTTATGGCTGAAAACCGAGCATACTGCAGATTTTGGCACTTGTTGGTAATGCCACGATGGTTTCACGCAGATTATTGAAATTCTACAAATTCGTAGAATTCGTACTTCTAAATAACCACAACAAAATTGGGGCAGATTGATCAAGTAGCTTTTGACGATATCTAATTGTTTATCCTAAATCACCTGTTTTCCGGCCAACACTACTAGTTTATTGAGCAATATACAGGGTTAGTTTATAGGGTATTTTATAGCAAAATACACTAGTTTACCTTGCCGATATGCATCGCAAACCATTCCGGAAGATAAATGTTATTTTTATTCAAAAAAGGATGGGTTACGTTTTTTCTTCTAAAAAATTCAAACATTGACATTGACATGAGCAATTTGCAACAAAAAATGATAGACACAACCGCTTTGTTATAAAATGTATAGTAGTACCTATATTACCGTATGTTTTTCGAGTATCGTAGCGAATTGATTGAATTACTTACAAATACGAGATGTTTGAATTTGTTTAGAAGAAAAAAAAACCTAACCTTTGTTTTCCGCATCAAGATAACATGTGTCTTTCGGAATAGTTTGCGATTCATATAGGCAAAGTGAACAAGTGTATTTTGCTATTAAATACTCTTCGAATTAACCCTGTATATTGCCTAATAACCTAGTAGTGATGGCCGGAAAACAGGTGTTTTGAGATAAACAATTAGAAATTCTCAAAATACTTCTTGACCAATATAATCCAATTTTGTTGTTATTATTCATAAGTAGTTTGTTAACAAGTTACGATTGAAGAAAAAATGCATAACAAAATGCACATTACATTACATATTGACAAAACATATAGCACGTTCTTTTAGTCATCTCTATATACACCATGAAATAATCCTATGAAAAGGGTTAAGAATACTGCTGCACAAAGGTAATTGAAAAAAAACATATTTGGGGACGTGCGACCTCCAAAGAGATCCTGTTTGTATACGGTTATGCAAAAAACTGAATCAGAATATTTTCCCGAGCGGATGCGATGGACATCATAATTGAGTGTTTTCTTTCGAAGCGGTCTCGTTAAATCAGTTTCTTCAAATAAATCATTTTCTAAAAATTTTCGATAAATTATGGAGAATTCTAAATAACATGTCTTAGAACGGATACAAAAATATTGGATGTTTTATGCAAACTGCGAAATACCAATTCATAATTATGAAGTTCAACTTAATTAAAATATTCTTTATTTTGTTACAGATGCAGAATGTCCAATTCTTAGAAAATAATGACCTACTGGAAAACCAACTGGCCACAAAATCTCAATACATTTGGGCACGATACACCAAATACCCTTCTGTACCACCAAAGTCTCGCAAACATGGAGGATGACCAGATATTAGATTTCTCATACTACTCTAGAGGGTAACTATAGTGTTCTTTAGATCAACTTATAACTTATACTGTTGTTTAATGTATTTTTTCTGAAGATGGCCAACCTAATGCAATCCATCTATGAGTATTTGTCACTGCTGCTCTACTTACTACAACTTGCAAGTTCGACCCTCAAAAATTTTTTTTCTCCTGTACAAGATGACATAATTAGAATTTCAATATGACGTTTCGTCTCTTGTTCTTTATTTTTTTCTTACGGACGCTATACTGAATTCTTGTACAGATGAATAGAGTTTTTGATTCTAATTTCAAAAATGTATAATTACGTCAGAATTGATCTTAGTTATTTCAAAAAGCAGAATTTTCTAGGTAGGCCTTGGACTTATCAGATATTCATTTGTCTTGCATACCAGATTTATCCCGAAATCTCATTTATTTTTTCCTAACTTTATTTGAGATGGATTTTTAAAATAAATTGCATGTTGGCATTGTTTCTTACTAGAACATGCCGTAGTCAAATTTTCAATTCATTTTTTATTTCGACTTCCATCACCAACCTTGTTTTTTATACGGACGGTATATTGGAACCTTGTGCATTTAAATGGACTATTCAGCCCTAAATTCAGTATATCCCTCGAGCACTAACAATTCGGGTTGAGGTTGGGCTCGAGGGAACTACATCGAAGACAAAATACGAACACTTGCAATCAAATCGCCCCGCCATGCTTTTCTTGACGGAGACAAAAATCTCAAAGTCTCCACCAATTAACCATCTTAGCTGGGAAGCCCGCAATAATTTGGGAAAATTATTACGGGGTGCACTCCAGTCTTAGAAAAAAACGGGGGGGTTGTGGCTTTTGTCTGCAGCAGCCTTTCCTGCTCCAGGGATGTCTCTTTGGAATCAGACCGGAAGGACATTCTGTGGCTTCGCCTCAACTCTAAAACATCACCCAAATTAATACTAGGTGACATATAAATCCGAACACCCAGTTTAAATGGTTGTATTTTAATAAAATTTTGTATAAGTACTTAATGAAGCATAATAAGTAAATGATAAAAATTTCAAAATGATTGCACTGCTTTAAAGCCCTTTGACCTTTAATAATGTGTGGATGCACCCTGATGTGCTACGCATTCTCCAACGCGCCTAGGCATGCTTCTGATCAGGTGGTCAATGTCCTCCTGTGGTATCTCATTCCAGGCAACCACCAACTCCTCTCGAAGTGCTTCTAGAGTCTGAGGAGGACGTTGCAAATTGAGCAATCTCCTACCCATCATATCCCATACATGCTCAATTGGGGATAAGTCGGGAGATCTTGGTGGCCATGGTAACAATGTCACATCATTATGTTGAAAGGAGTCTATTGTGACTCTTGCAACATGTGGTCGGTCATTATCTTGTTGGAAAGTTGGATCTGCCAGGGTGTCAAGATAGGGTAAAAGATGGGGTTCTAGAACTTCGTGGATATAACGCTGCGCATTCGTGTTACCTCTGATGAAGATTAAAGGTGACCTGGAACCATAAGCTATAGCACACCAAACCATAACTCCAACAGTGTGATGAACATGTCTTTCAACAAAAAACTGTGGATTCCTTTTTTCACCAGGTCGCCTTCTAACCCTGGCACGACCATCGTGCATGCCTAAACAAAATCGAGACTCGTCATTAAAGACAATACTGTTCCATTCCTGATCCCAGAGTGACTGTTGTCTGCACCACTCAAGGTGACTACGTCGGTGTTCTCGAGTTAAAGGGGGACCCAGTGTGGCCGGTATGAAAACAAGCCAAAACTTCGCATTCGTCGGTAAACACTTCGCATGCCAGTAGGTCTTCCGTGTTCTGCAAACCATTCATTTGCAATGGACCTGGTAGTGGAAAAACGGTCCCTTAAGGCCAATAATCTTAGGCGGCGATCTTCACGGTCTGTTAATCTACGGCGGCGTCCAGTGCCCCTTGCTCTTTGCGTACGGCCTTCTCGAAGCCATGCCTGACAACACCTAACCACAGTATCTACACTTCTTTGCACTCTAACTGCAATTGCCCGAAAAGAAAGTCCAGCTTCCCGAAGTCCCACTATACGGCCCCTATCAAACTCACTAAGTTGACGAAATCGTACAGGTCTCCGTACTCTAGGCATCGTAACCGACCGTAAAGGATGTCAAGAACTAAAATCCGCCAACGTTGATTCTTTACTGCGGCTGAAATATTCATTTTTAGAGCGTTAATGAATTAAAAAAAAGCAGTATAAAAACCGGAATGTCCAACTGATAAGGCTGAAAATTTTTTCACTTGTTATTTACAGTAAGATAAATACATTCACCAACTTTTATTAAAATAAAACCATATAAACTGGGTGTTCGGATTTATATGTCACTTAGTATAGTTTTAGTCCAGTGGCAACGGTGCTATAGGCAAAAAAGAAAAAGGAACAAATGCTGAAACTCCGTTATTGATGTTTCAGCGATCCCTAATCATTGACATAAAAAATTGTACTGCTTAAAAAGGGGGGTTGAAATCAGTGAAACACGTTCTATTACTAAGTAGCTTCTGGTCCCAGTGATTACAGGAAATTTAAGTATCGAAAATCCGACGAATCATGTGCTCACGATTTGAAAAAACGCAGCAAGAGTTTCATTTGGAAATAATAAAAAGTAAGCTGTGAAGTGCAAATCGGTTTTTGATCGAAATTCATCTACTGTTTCGTCCTGCCAGTCCAAGCGACGCGACGGTGCGTTCCGACTAAGAAAAAATGTATTCAAAGAATTTTATATCTTTCCTAGTATAAATTCAAGAACTCAAATTCTAATTCGTTTATTCATATCAATAAACACAATTATGTTTACAAGGGTCGTGTGGTAGATGGTAACAATTGATCGAGGGTCATAAAAATATCTTATGCGGTCAAAATAAGAGGAAACAGTTAGTTTTTGCAAAGCAATAAACAGGTAGGCTTATACCTGGATTAAGTATATGTCTTGTCTACTGTAATAGGTAGATGGAGGTGATGCTGCCAGAAATGGATGTGTGCGATCAATAAACAAACCACAAGATTGAACTGCCGTGTCCAATGATTTTTGAATTGCCCTTTTTTATTGCCTTACTAGAAAACTCTGTTGGGTATATGATCGAGTTTACTAGACCTTTACAGCTTGTTGTCTGCCTTCTTCTACAAAATTCACCAAATCGAGACACTGTCAACCTTATCCTCCGATGAAGACGCCACAAAGCACAGTCCTGTGATTTGGTGACTTGTTCGATATGCAAAATCTCGTCGTCACTTTTTCTAAGTTTCCCTAAAAATTCTTGCTTAGCAACCTACAAATCAATGTCGTTCATGTCAGGCTTTTGGAAGAATTCGCCATAAAACTATTATATATTTCCTTTGGAATTGCTATCCGAATTGTTAGTTATTTTTATATCAACTTTCTTTGTTCTGAGTCTCTTTAAAAGATTCTTGCGTTTGAGTCTTTGTTCCATCTTAATGATAAGCGAGGTTGGACTAAGCTTAGAACGCAAATGTATTTGGACCACATAGACAGGCCGCTCGGCATTGTGGCTCACTACAGCTTCAGCACATCTTCCATGGTATGACCTCTTCTTGCAATAATTTTTTCGCTTACCCCAATGTATTTTGCGATTCTCGTAGAGTTGAACTGCTCCACACTATTGTTGTCCTCATCATGAATTAAACTCACTGAATTCGTAACTAAAATTGTCGCATATGACCTTTTATTGTCCATTATCAACATTGATAAGAAATTGACTCAAGAACAATCACACCAACAAGAGTACAACACAACAATTCAACAACACAATATCGACGAACAGTAACAAGGGTAGAACAATACTAAATGGTCAGTTGAGTACCAAAACAGGAAACGATTTACAGGCTAGATAGCTAATCGAAATCCGACTCTGTTATTATAAAAAATTACCTCGGTAGGCACCCGCAGTCATCCTTTCCTCTTTTAAAGTACCGCCGACCACCGTCTAAGATCAGTCCACAATCGTTTCCTTTTCACCCCCCCCGTTACCTCAGCAGATGGACCTCCTGATTATAGGAGCCCCGTTAAACAACATAAAAAAACAATAAAGAGGCAAATCAAAAGGCGGTGAAACACAAAAGGCAAATACAAAGAAATAACCCCCTGGAGCTGGCAACGGACGCGAAGAACAAATCTATACAACTTGTCAGCGAGTAGGAAAACGATATTTTTGCTCACACAAACGCTGCTAATGTAGCTGGTGATTCTGTAACAACGCTTTTGTCAGTTTTGAGAATGTTTTTGACGATGAGCTTTTAACTGAAGTTCGTAAATTATTCCACAAGTGAACCGCTACATAAGCAAACGATCGTCGGAAGGAACGCGTTCTATGCCTAGGTACGATAAAATTGAGATTATTTCTTCTTCTTTGGGGACCAGGCAAAGGCACAAATCTTTCTCTTAAATAGGGCGGTTGACCTGTTTTTATAACCTTATAGATAAAAGAATACATGCGTTATTTTCTGCGATTCGTCATGTTTAATATGTTGTAGTTATTCAGATAAGGAGTGATATGGTTTCGATATGGAATTCCAAACGCAAATCTCATGCAACTATTTTGACCTTTTGTATGCATTTTTTGGTCCGCGACGATAGCGAATCAGATATGTAGATTGAAAATAGCAAAGGAGATAAAAACCTTGAGGAACTCCTCTTTTTATACGTTTAAAATCGGTTTTGTAAATAGATTTACGGAGCTCTGCGAAAACCCCAGGTAATGTATCGAACGCTTTACTAAAATCGAGAAGAACCACGCACGTACCAGTTTTTTGTTCTTGATGATGTCTGATATCATCCAGGATATTAACTAATGATATACTTGTGCTAAAGTTTTTCCTAAACCGGATTGACTCTCGGGTATGATATCGTTTGTGTCACAAAAAAATTTAATTTGATTATAAATATGCCTTTCTAATATCTTGAATGTAGCGGGTAATATGCTAATAGGCCTCAAGTCTGTAAATTTTTTAGGTTCTGCTACTTTTG